TATCGTTCCCACTATTCCCACTCCAGGGCCTGGCTTCTCTGCTACTGCTGGCAGATGCACTGGGGAACGCTGCCCGGCACGCCCGGCCCTCCAGCATTGCCTGAGGTTCTGATGCAGAGGCTCGGCTCCCCTCCTGCCCACTCCACCCTCCGCACGGTATCCGTCTCCCTCTGTGTACCCCACTCGATGATGTTTTCTTCCAGCAATCTGCTGGCAAGCTGGTGGCACTCCTGCACGTCTACGTGGCCTTTCTCTCCACTTTCCAAACTCTTCATTGCCAGGAGGACCATGACCCAGAAGGTATGCTCTGCCCAGAACCTATTCCAGCTACCCATCCCTCTGCCTCCAGGCACGGCTAGCAAGGACCACGTTTAGCCAGACAGCTGTCCATTCTCCTCCAGACCCGGGGGAAGGAGCCCTCCCCACCGCCTGGGTAACCCTGGGTCACTGGCAGCAAGTTCTTTCACTTTCTGAGGTTGGTCTCGGGTGGTGACACACCCTGCAGGGCCACAGCTGTGACTAATCCTGTATTTGAGACCCTGCCTCGTGCCTCGCTGGTGCCCGTGAGGCAACCTGCCGACAAGGACGGCATCCTGGGAGGTGCAGGGAGGTTCCAGCTGCAGCCTCTCCCAGGGTGGCGAGGGAGGCGTCCTGGGAGAGGAGAGGCAGGTGGGGCTGGAACGGCCCGGAGGAGGTGGCCTCAAAGGCTGGACCCACCAGGGGCGTCCCAGAGCTTTAGGACCAGGTCGCAGCAGCGGGTGAGGAAGCTGCAGCCTGGTGCAGCGAAGGGCAGGGGCTTCAAGGTCAAAGAGACCTGGTTTGAATCTCCGCCCAGCCACTTAGCAGCTGGGGGCCCCCAGCCTCGTGCGCTCCTGTGTAAAATGGAGGTGATGCTAGCACCTACCATGCTGATCTGGGCACAAAAGAAACAGAAGTGTGTAGAAAAGCCCTTTAAAAGGCAGAGCTGGCTACTTCTGTATGTGTTACCTTACTCTATCCTCCCTGGTGGGATCTCTTAGCCCCATTTCACAGATGAGGAGCTGGAGGCACGTGTGTGGAGGGCTGGACCTGAGCCCGGGGCTCTGCTTGAAGCCTGTGCTCTCCTCCCCGGGGCTGCCGGGCTGGCTGCGGCAGCAGATGGAAGTAGCTAGAGTGCCTTCTTGCCCCTTGGAAAGCTGCCCTGCTCGCCACCCTGAGCTCCCGCTGCTCTACCACCCCCTCCTCCCACCACCTCCCCTCTCGCCCGGGAGCAGGAGGCTCGGGGGAGAAGAGCCCCTCACAGAGAGGTGCTGGGGCTCCCGAGCAGCGCAGGGGCAGTGGTGGTTCAGCAGGGCACGCCTGCGGAGCTGCCCAGTGAGAGGGACGAACGCCTGTCCCCGCGTCTGCCAGCACAGACGTGGGCACACAGCACACTGCCTAACAGAAGGAAGAAGCGCAGTGTCTGCAAAGCAGAAAATGTGAGCACAGACTGGAGCAGCACCGTCAACGGTGCTGTGTGGCTACACCCCTGTGGCCACACTGAGCCCCTGGCCCACATGCTCACAGCAGAAGAGGTCACGTAGTAGCAAACAGACCCAGAAATCCCCAAACCGCCAAATCCCCCAACAGAAGGCCTCCGGGGCCACACGCTCACCGTCACACCTGAAATCAGAGGCTCTGGGGACCTGGTCCCCACGCTCCTGATGGGGGACGGAGGGAGGAACTCCAAGGGAATGGGGTGGGATTGAGGGGAGAGAGAGAGAGAGACACCCCCAGACTCACGAAGGCAAAGCTGCATCTCCCTGGAGCACCAGCGCACCCCAGCCACTCTGCATGAGGCGATGTTTTCCCCCGAGCTCTGGTGACACATCGGAGTGGTGGTGCCTGAGGGGACATGCAGCCCAGCTCACAGCCCCAGGAAAGGCCAGCCAGGCCTCCAAGGATTTGAGTGCCTGCCCCGCAGAGTGAGTCCAAGCACAGCAGGACCACTTCAGCAGCCAGGAACCAGGCCATGAGGGAGCTGTGGGTGATTGCCAGCCTGGGTATTTTCAGGGTGTCCTCCTTTTTGTGCCCAAACCTGAAACGTTTGGATTCTTTTTTCCTAATGGTGGTTCCAGTTTCTCGTGTGTCTAATACTCACTTGAAGTGAATCATGGAAAAATGCCTTTGCTACCAATTTCTTTGTGCCACAGACAGTGTGGCTTTTAAACAAGGAGATATCTAAACACACACATGTGTTCCTTGCCATCCAAGCTCAGCTCCTATGCTGGCATGCAGAGCCCTGAGGCTGTGGTTCAGAGCTCAGGGGCCGGAATCCTCCAGGAGGAAGCCAGAGGGCAGCCACAAGGGCATTCCCGGGCTCCGGGCACAGTGCCCACAGAGAAGTGCCTCCCTGGCCTGCCCCGTGGCCAAGAGCCACGGTCACAGCCAGAGGGCCACACAGCCCAGCCCTGGGCAGCAGGTCCAAGGCAGGCGCCCTGTCCTCCCCTCCCAGACACCTTAGCTTGGGTGGCCAGGCTGGTCTAGCACTCTGAGGAACCTTCCCAAAGCAAGCCCTGCCATCTGTTTCCCTTCCCTTTCTTCTTCCAGCTAACTCCAGCCCACAACAATCCCTCCACAAATCAGGAGCAGCTGGGGCTCAGCGCTCCTGCTCAGATTCCATTTTCCTGCTAGGTCTTCCTTCAGGACACCTAGGGCCTCCACCAGCTGCCTGCTTGTTCTGTGTTAGGCCCAGAGTGACCCACCTCGGTCCCGTCCAGCTCCTAGAGAAAAAGACACTGATGGTCTAATAGTGATGCCAGTAATGACAGCCACAGCGGTAGCATGTCCTGGGGATCCACTGCACGGGGGTCCTGGGGATCCACTGCATGTGTGTCCTGGGGATCCACTGCATGTGCGACCTGGGGATCCACTGCACGGGGGTCCTGGGGATCCACTGCACGGGGGTCCTGGGGATCCAGTGCATGTGTGTCCTGGGGATCCACTGCATGGGGGTCCTGGGGATCCACTGCACGGGGGTCCTGGGGATCCAGTGCATGTGTGTCCTGGGGATCCAGTGCATGTGTGACCTGGGGGTCCACTGCATGGGGGTACCGGGCACTGTTGCTTTATGTCTCCCATAACAACAGATGGTACGTGCAGTGTTATGAGCAGAGGCCGTGCGGCCTTGGCAAGTCACTGAATCACTCTCAACCTCCACTGACCCATCTGTAAAGTGGGGCTGTGAGGAGCACCCCTCTCCCAGGAGTGTGTGCACTGAGTGAGCGTACATGCGTAAAGTCAGCATAGTGCCTGGCACAGAGTAAACACTGACGTTGTGCTTCAACCCTGACAACTGTTCCCCTGCTGCCCCACGCTTACAGCTGAGGAAACTGAGGCTCAGGGAGGTTCAGCCCTTGCACAAAGGTGTCCAGGTTCATGAATGGCAGAGCTGCCATTTGTGCCCAGGTCCCTGACTCCGGGACCACTCACTGCCCACTTCCAGTGTCTGCTGTCTGTCTGCGATTTCCGATGTTCCGCGATGGCTGTCCTTAAGGAACCACGGGTCAGGAGTCCACCTTGGCCTGCTTTTGTGACCATGGAGGCACTGGGGAAGTGGCCTGGCTGTGGGGCAGGCGTGACGACCAGGAAGTTGATGAGACCCAACGCCATCCAAAGACAATGGCGGGGCACTGGGAAGGCTTCGGGACTTTCTGCATCAGGGGCTCAGAGGTCTTCCTCCGGACGGGCGCGGGGCCCTCAGGCCCTCTCCGTCTCCTGGACCCTGCTGTGTGGTGGAAGATGTGTAGACAGGGCTTCCTACACCAAAGGCGAGTCTTTCTGCTCCCTCAGCCCTCAGGCACACGAGTCTCCAGCCCCATGGACAGACCTGCCTTGAGCGGCCACGCGGTGGCCTCTAGGGGGGGCTCATGCCAGCATGTACAGTGTATGGGCAAATTACAGAAAAGCATCCTTTCGGGGCCGGGCTGGTGGCACAGCGGTTAAGTTTGCATGTTCCGCTTCAGAGGCCTGGGGTTCGCTGGTTCGGATCCCGTGTGGACATGGCACCGCTTGGCACGCCATGCTGTGCTAGGCGTCCCACATACAAAGTAGAGGAAGACGGGCACGCATGTTAGCTCAGGGCCAGTCTTCCTCAGCAAAAAGAGGAGGATTGGCGGCAGATGTTAGCTCAGGGCTAATCTTCCTCAAAAAAAAAAAAAAAGAAAACCATCCTTTCTAGGCAGAAAACTTCAAAACGGTGGCCCTTTGAGTAGACCAATTAGAGAAGGCAGCCTGTCCTCAGACTAACATGGCCCCATGTGTGTCTTCCACTTATGCCTCTCAGTGGGTCCCCTTGTGCAATGTACAACCTGTACATCTGCTCTTAGCGTACGTCTATTCCCTGCCCCCAGCTGGGAAAAGGCTGGGACCCTGTAGAGAGAGCACTAGACCGGGAGTCAGCAGGCCTGGATTCTGGGGCCATTCAACCACAAACCTGCTAGAGATCAAGTAACCTGACAGAGCCATGACGATTTTGTCTATAGAACGAGCAGATGAGGCAAAACGCACCTAAGGTTCCCCACAAGGACGACGACATCATCGTCATCAAAACAGGTGACAGCCACCATTGATGGAGGGCCGGCTACACCTAGACACTGTCCCACGTGATCATTCTCAGAGCACCGGCTTGCTCGATTCTCACACCACCTTCCCAGGTCGGTGTGAGTACTTCCCCTTATAGCAGAGACACCTGAAACTCAGCAAGCCCAGCTAGCTCGTGTTGGAGCCGGCAGACCCGGGACAGGGGTCACAGTGCACACTCTCAGCCCCAACGGCTCCCCACCACATTAGCCCAGGGGAAATCCCACTGCATGCCAGGGGATTCCTCCGTCCGCATTCCCAGCCCACACCTGTGTCAGCTGCCTCCTCATAGGCACACAGGCTGGTGCCAGGGCCCTTTGCTCACCTTGTTGACAAGTCAGTCTGTCAACACACAGTGGGAAGCACGCCCCGTCAGGCATGCAGTTCTAGGAGATCCCTACCGTTCATTGTTGAGGGCCATCCTCGGGGGGTCCAGGTTGGGGTTCTCCATGGACTCCATCTGTGGACACCGCAGGAAATAGTAGAGCGTGTGGAGGGCGTCGGGGGACCAGGTGATGGGCTGGGGCGGCTGGCGGGCCTGGCGGGCGGGGCTGGAGCCAGGACACAGCGGGTGGCGTCCCTGCATGTGGTGCATAGCACGGGAGACCAGGTCACCTGGTGGGAGGGCAGAAAGGAAGAGAAAGAGAGACTACGTCTGAGTTGACAGCCACATCCTTCCAAGGACACCGTGGCCACGGAGCAAAGCCCTTCCTCTGCAGCGGCACAGAATCACCCCGACCCTGGAGCCAGAGGCGGGGCGGGCAGTCCCCTGGGCACACGGCAGCACCGAGCTGCCCTGTCTCAAGGGCTCGCTCTCACAGCTGGATGACACCTTTGCTGGGCCCTTCTCCGCTGGAAATGATGCTGATGTGGTTTCTCTGTCCACATCCCCACTCTCTCCCCCACCGCACGGCCTCTCCCCAGCTCTCCGACCCCGGGAAGCTCTCTGGGCCTCTCCTCCCAGCCTGACAGCCAGCGCCCGCTATGTGGGGGCCTCCCCGGGCCGTCTCGGGCAAACCTGAGCTGCCTCAGCAGAGAAGCTGCTCCATCCCGGTCTTCCCCAGGACATCCACCGTCGCCCACTGTGTGCCAAGTGGCCAGTTCTCCAGAGATAGGATTTCACTCCATCCCTACAAGCCAGGACTAAGTATTATCCCCAATTAACAGATGGAGAAACCGAGGCTTATCCGGTAAACAAACATTTACTGACCCCGTGCATCTCCCTGGTCACATGGAGCCCTCGGCGCACAGGAGTTCACTAGCCAGGGTCACGTGGCTGGTGACCGGCAGAGCCAGGATTTGATCTAGGCCTGTCTGACTCCCCAGTCCACGAACGGCATGTGGCCGGGCTGCAGCCTGCCCGAGTGAAGTCGGTGGGGTCCCCATATCCTGTGCTGTATTTCTGCCCAAGTCAAGTCCTTTCAATACCCCACCAGCCAGGGACAGGAAACATCCCCTCACTGTGTGAGGCCACAGAGCGGAGAGGCCCCACTCTTCTGGGAACAGTGGTGCCTTTCCATTCTCCTCAGGCCTGAGAACTCGGGGTGAGGGGCCTGCCCTGCGGGGCAGCTTCCCCCGTCTGTGTCTGTGGTGGTTCCTCACAGGCAGCCCCTTCCAGAGAAAGCCTCTGGACACTGCTGACCCTGAGAGGGAGAAGCGAGGTTTTAATTTGGCAAGACAAGTGTCACTCAGCATGTGGCATCTGATTCACCCTCATTCCACAGCTCCTGCGAGGCTGGGCCTCTATGCCGCGGGGTCCCTGGCGCCCTGCACAGAGTCCGCTGCATAGCGGGTGCTCAGCAATCATTTGGAGAATGAAGCAGCAGCTGTATGCATTCATTTCACTTCTAAATGCGGCTTCTGGCGGGGTTCGACTCATGTTCACTGGCTGCCGACTTCTCCCATGACAGCCACCCCGCTCCACCCTCCATCCCAGGTCCTCACTCCTCTCCAGCCGCTCTCCCTGCAGTTGGCTCAGCTGCCTGGGTGCCTCTGGGCAACGCCTGGGCCGGGCGGCGGAGGGCAGGGAGCTCCCGACACCCGGCTCCCATCCCCAAGCCTGGACTGAATTGACCTGGGGCAGGCCAGGCGCCTGCACTTTGTAAAGGTTCCTTCAGCACATCTACTCCAGGAAGGTCTGAGGCCACCAGGTGAATGGACAGGAGCACAGATTCCAGACCTGGCTTCAAATCAGGGCTCTGCCGCTTCCAGCCTGTGCGCCTTACGTAAATTCCTTACCAGAGCCTCAGTTTCCTCATAAGTAAAACGGAAATAATCACATCTAACCTAAAAATTGTGAGGATCCAAATAATTCATAAAGGTGAAGCACGTGACGTCACACTCGGCCCAGAGCAGGCGCCCGGCAGGAGTACCCACTCTCACTGACGCCCCCCACTCTGATTCCTTGACCCCTCGGGCCGCCTCCGCGGTGCCCGCCCCTGGGACCTCCGCCTGCATGCAGGCGCTGCCCCACATTTCCCAGGACAGGAGGAGTCCCCAAAACGCCACATCCCAGCCCTGCCCTCGGGCTGCTGGGTGGTAGAAACCGGCATCACAACCCCAGGCCGGCCGCCCACAGGCGCTCCTCGTCAGCTCGGTTGGCTGCAGGGAGGTGAAACCTGGCTGCCGCTTCCCCAGGTCCAAATGTCATAACTTTCGGCAGGACTACAAGGAGGGGAGGCCAAAGACTCCACGATGGCATCAAAGAGAAATCTTGCTGAAGTATCACTTTGAAGGCTCGACAGGGCAGAAGTCATTATCCTTAATCACGCTTAGGATTGTCTTACTGTCATTGGTGTAGAACCCTTCGGCAGCACATTTCCAGGCAAAACCCCACAGAGAAAATCCAGAAAGAAAGTGCCTCCTGAGAGCTCCCAAAAGGGAGCCAGGAACGGAGGGAGCCTCCGGAAGGTTCGGGAACACGAAGGCAGCAGAGCGGCCCCTGGAGACAGAGGTCCCCAGACTCTCCACTCAGAGCTCAGCTGCGTGCTGTCCATCTCCCTCCAAGAGCAAAATGGCAGAGGCCTCGGACGGCCGGACTAGGCATCTAGACACTTCCACTGCTCCGCAGCCTTCGCCGACCACCCAAGAAAGCCCCTGGCTTTGCATGTTCTCCTGGGTGCCTTCTCCCCCTGCACCTTATCCTTTCTAGGCTTCATGAGACACATGAAAAGAGACAAACCCTCAGTTAATCTTTACAGCCACCCCGTATGGGAGGCACTTCCATCCTACAGACGAGGACGTGAGCTCACAGAAGGTACATGGCTCGTCCCACTGGCACAGCTGGTAAGCGAGCCAGTCAGGACTTGACCTGGGCCCCCTGTGTCCCAAAGGCGTGCGCCTGACTGTCACCCCACTGCCACTTAAAGCGTGGTCTGCAAACCGGACAGGCTGCACACTGTTACTGGCCCACAACCAGTTAATTTCAGAAACTGAGAGGGCACTACAAAGCTTCCAGAGCTATTTGACAGAGGGACTTTTATGTCTATCTAATCTAATAATAAAAAAGTTGGCTTGCATCTTACATGTCTTTTACTTCATTTTTTTAGACGTTCATTTTTTGTTTTTTGAGGAAGATTAGCCCTGAGCTAACTGCTACCAATCCTTCTCTTTTTGCTGAGGAAGACTGGCCCTGAGCTAACATCTGTGTCCATCTTCCTCTACTTTATACGTGGGACGCCTGCCACAGCGTGGCTTACCAAGTGGTGCCATGTCCGCATCTGGGATCCAAACCAGCGAACCCCAGGCCCCCGAAGCAGAACGTGTGCACTTAACCACTGCGCCACTGGGCCGGCCCCACAGACGTTCATTTTTATTGTATTTTACAAAAGTTTCAGTCTGCAGCAGAGCGGGGCCAGGGGTAAAGTCCCTGCCGTCGGCACACACTTTGAGAGGCCGTGGCCCAGGCTGGGCTGTGCTCTTGGATTCCCGGAGGACAGGGGGACAATAATAACAGGACAGGGGCGCTCAGAGCTGCTTCTGCACTGTTCCTGTAGCTGAGAATCAATTAATCCTAAGACTGATGGTACCTCAGTCTGAGGCCCAGAAACACCCACGAGGCATGGAAAGGAGCCCTCACTGCTGGGGAATCAGGACAGCCTTGACTGGAGGGCGACGGGTCTCCCTCTGGTCTGCCCTACCCTTGTGATGAGCCATCAGATCAAAACAGCAGGCGAGAGACTGGAATTCAGCACTGTCTTCAAACTGAGGCCTGCACCATCTGGCTACCTTCAAAAAGAAGTGTCTTGCTTTATTTCATATTTCCTCTCATTTACATTTTCGTGGGTAGAGAGGGACAGAGGAAAACAAGCACCAAGCTCCCTGTGCAGCTGGGCCTGACACAAGAATGCAACTTCTCTCGACCTACCTGGCAGGCTGGTCTTGGCGAGCTGCACGGAGCTAAGGCACGCCAACCCGGGGTGAACTTTTAGGTACAAGGAGCTCAGCGCCAAGTATCAGTAGCCTCATTAAGCTCTTTCGTGTCAAAGAGAAGGACAGCAGTATCTGCCTCCACCTCTGTCCCCTCCCTCCTTCACAGGCGTTAGCAAAACCCCTGGTCGCAGAGCCAGGGAGATGGGCCACTCAGCACTAACACAGCCCATTCCTGTGTCTGTGAAAGATGCTGTGGGGTGCTTCGTCCCTCCACACTGAGGAGGGACCGGGCCGGGCTGTGGACCAGTCCTAGGTGAGTTCTAAGGGACAGACACTGGGTGAGAGAGAAGTCCTTCCTTCCAACACACACACACACAGCATCAGGTACTGTTCTAGTCACAGGGGACACAAGCAGGGGACAAAACAGGGACGTCTCTATCCTCACATTTAATTCTAGTCAAAGGAGAGAGAGGACAAACTATTTACAAGTAAACATATAATCAATGTCAAGCGGCAATCAGGGCTTTGAATGAACCAAAGCCACAAGAGGGGAGGCAGAAGAATGAGAGTGGGGTGCTCAGGGGAGGCCTAGCTAATAAGGTGTCATTTGGGCAGAAACTTGAGGAAAGTGAAGGACCAACCTATTTGGGTATCTGGAGGAAAAGGTCACAGGCAGGGAACAGCTAGTGCAAAGGCCCCGGGGTGGGAGGAACTTGGCTAGGAGCTGGGGTAGCTGAAGCACAGTCGACAAGAGCAGAGCAGCAGGCAGTGAAGCCAGATCACAGAGTGGATCTTGGGCTATAGTGAGGACTTTGGATTTCACTAAGTGAGCCGGGAAGCCAGGAGGGGACGGAGGGAACACTGAGCATAATCCAATTTGTGGTTCAAATGGCCCTGGTCTGGGCTGAGTTGGTAGCAGTGGAGGTGGCTGACAGGGGCAAATTACAACTTGGGAGAGTTTTGTAAGGGAGAACTTACAGGACTTGGTCCCTGGGCTGCTGGGCTGAATGGTGGGGACAGAATGATGACAAGCCCACCCCCAAGGGAAGTTTCCGAACGCTCCCCTTTGCCTGGCTGTGGGCTGTCCTGGGCACAGAGGCCGCCACAAGGAAAGGCAAAGGCTCAATCCCAACCTTGCCCTCCGCTGCCCTGGGGTGCTGGCGGCTAGGCTGCTAGCCATGTCCAGGAAGCCCATAGCCCAAGCGATTAAGACGGTGGCCACCGCAGGATCGGCCCCGTGGCCAAGCGGTTGAGTCCGCGTGCTCCGCTGCGGAGGCCCAGGGTTTCGCGGGTTTGGATCCTGGGCGCGGACATGGCATCGCTGATCAGGCCACGCTGAGATGGCGTCCCACACAGCACAACCAGAGGCACTCACAACTAGAACATACAACTATATCCTGGGGGGCTTTGGGGAGAAGAAGAAGGAAAAAAGGCAACAGATGTGAGCTCAGTGCCAATCCTGAAAAAAGAAAAATGAGGTTCCTATAATTAAAAAGAAAAAAAGAAAAGAGGGTGGGCACCAAAGCCAGACGCATCAGGAGTGAAGGCCCCTCAGTCCTTATAAGCTGCCTGCCTCGGGGACGGTCGCTTTTCCTCTCTGAGCCTCAGTTCCCTCATCACGACATACCTTGCCGAGCTGTTCTGAGGAGGCAGCGAGGCCACGGGAACAAACGCAGGCTGCATGCGCCCCGTGCACACGTGACGTGCACACTCAGTGGTCAAACACCACACGGAGCTGCATGCTCCCCAGTGCGCTGAGGGCTGAGCGTGCCTCGCCGTTCTCAGGAGAGTTCACCGAAACACGCACTCTGCCTGGCGCGAAAGAAGCCCACTGCCCAGGGACAGTGTGGGGGGTGGGGGATCCAGCCGCACACCCCAGCCACTTCCTGTAGGGTCCCGAGGCGCCCTTACTCTGCAACGCCCCAGGAGACGGAGAGCCCACAGGCCTGCCTTCTCTCCCAGCCCAGACTTTGCTCTGTGACCCCGAATCAGGCACCTGCACTTCCTGTTTGGGAGGGAGGGAGGAAGTTGGCCCTGCAGAAGCAAAAAGGTTTGTCATGCACGGTTCAGGGGCCAGGAAACTCAGATCACAAATGGAACAGACTGGAGCAGAGTGACACTCCACCTGTTCCACCCTGTGGGCTCGCGATGGGTCAGCACCCTCCAGGGGGTTGCCTCACGACACAGCGAGGGGGAACTCAGGAGAAAGAGCGGCTGTCTCCTTTCTCAGACAACAGGGGTCATGAGAGGGAGCAATCAGGAGATGCAGCTGTCAAATGGTAATGACCTAGACCAAGGGGCCGCCCCTGTGCTCCCTAGAGCCTAAAACCCAGGGAGGCGCCTGGGGCGGGCGTGGGCTGAGGTCGCCGGCCACCCCTCTTCCCCAGAGCGGCTCTGCTCTGATCTCCCTTTTGCTATGCTGACATTTCAGAGGTGTTTTCTTTCAAGAAAGAATACTGGTTGTCTATTCAGAGTCTTTGGGGCCAGGCAGGTAAAATAAATGAAAGAAACAGGCCAGCTGCAAGACAATGCGGGATGCGACAGTGTGGGGAACACGCGCGGTCTGTGTAGCTCCCCTCGATGGCTGCTCATGCAGAAACAGGGCCCAGGGTTGCTAGACTGTCTGATTTCTCAAGAGAACCCAGAAATCCAGATTTATATGTGATGAAGTCTACATGCCAGCCAAAGCACGTGTGTCTGTGGGCCACCAGTTTGCAACCTCTGGCCTTGAAGGATCTGGCTCTCAGAGAAGGCGAGAAGCGTGGAGGAGGAGGAGGAGGAGGCCAGAAGCCAGAAGGAGAGCTCATTTAGCTTTGTCCTTAGCGCCAGCCGGACGGGGACGGCACTTACTCAGCTCCGAGATGCTCCCCACACAGGTGGCCAGGAGGGACTGCTCCAGGGTGCGGAGCTCCAGCTGAGCGTAGGCGTCGGCCGGCTCATCGCGGCCCAGGGAGCCGCTGCGGTAGGGGCTGAAGTGCGCGGGGAGGGAGAGGACACCTGTGGGAAACAAGCAGACGGTCACGGGGGAAGGAGAGCTCCACAGGCCGGCGTGCGGGCGCTGCGAGCGCCTCTCTCGGCCCCGTGCATGACCAAGGGGCCCCACTTTGCGCGGAGCTCAGGGCTGGAAACGTCCACCCTGCCCGCCCAAAGGGCAGCATCGCCCCAGAGTCCTCTGCCTTCCTCAAGCTGCCTCCTTTCTTCTTCAGGCCAAGAAAGGGATGGGAGAAACCAGAGAGCAAGGGGGTTCCTTCTCCTCTCCCAGAAGGGGACTGTCCCAGCCCCGGCCAAGTCCGTGAGTGGCTTTCATTAGCACTTCAACAACGGAGGAGCCGTGTGGCCAGAACCGGTCCCAGAGGGTGACAGCTGTAAATCTCCCCAACTCACTGTGTGGCTTCTTAGCACCCGAGAAGCAAAATCAGAGAGGCTCAAGTTCCGTGCTGGTTCTCCAGAGCGGGAGGCCACAGAGGGCCCCATCTTTGGTAACTGCTGTTTCTTTGATCAACACATCTTTGTCCAACCCCCCCTGAATTTGTTTAAGAAAAATACCCACAGGAATTCAGTCAGTCACTTTTGGGAAAATCTCTTAAAATTCCTTGAGATAACTGGAGAGCCCCTGGGATGTGGCCAAATGCGAGTGAGTATTCCCTATCCTGAACACAGAAATGTAATGAGGATGACGGCAGCCACAGGTCGTGCAGCTGAGTGGTTAAGACAGGGCCTTGGAGCCAAAATGTTGGGGTTCATGGCTCTGTCACTTAACCAGCTGTGTGATCTCGGGCAAGCTACTTCACTTCTCGGGGCCTGAGTCCTCGTGTGTTCACTCGAGATAACGACAGTGCCTTGCTCGCAGTGTAGCTGTGAGGACTGACCAAGGTGTAGGATGTCGATGCGTGGACCAGCATGTGGCTCAGAGGAAACGCTCTGCTGGGAGCCTGTGCTCTTAATTCTACTATGTGCTGGAGATGCAGGCCTTATTGACATTATCTCATTTACTCTCCCAACAAAGTAGGCACCGCCGTCTCCATTTTAGAAATCAGGGGATGGACATTCAGGGAGTTTGTACCAGACTAAGTACCAGAGCCAGGACTCGAATCCGGGTCTGACGGCTCTAGACTGTGTCCACCTAACCCCTCGGTAAGCCAGATCCAGCGAGCACATCTGTGCTCTTCTGATTCGGCGGCAGTGTACGCGACAGTACTGCCGCATCCCTAAGGCCCAGTTCACCCACAGACGCCTGCGAGCTGAGTCTCACCTGCGTCTCCTTCTCAGGACGAACACGGAGGGCTGTCCTCCTTCTGCCCAGATCCAGCAGCCTTCTCCTCTGACCACTCTACTCTGTAGGTTCAGCCGATGGCCAGCCCTGCCCTCCTGGCCTGCCCGTCCCCTGACCCAGCCTCCCTGCCCTCAGCGGGCACGGCTGCCTTGGTGTGGCTGAGGCCTGCCCCCTGAATCTCCCTTCGCCCTTCTGGATGACAGCAGCCCCTCCACCCACACGTGGCGCTGACTCGGCAGAGAGCCATCGAAGCCCTTCCTCGGAGTTCTGATTCCAGCGGGAGGAGGAGAGCACGGCTGGGTCCCCGTCCCCTGCCCTGTTCCCCAAAGCAGACACTCTCTCTGACAGCTGAGCACCCAAACACCTTAGGAAGAGCTGGCTGGGAGCATGTCTGGAAAAAGGCATTTCCAAACAAAAGAAAAAAGGGACATCTCTCATTTTTTTTTCACTTAGTAAAATCCTTAGGAAGAATTGTTTGTCTCAGTCATGATGGAGTGTTTCGCCTTATTAGCTAATAAGGATACCCTTATGGATCCCTGTTGAACTCTGAAAGTGACGGAGAAACCCGCGTGCCTCCCTCAGCTCGCTTCTGTGCACTGAGCTGAGCGTGGGGCAGGAAGCACGACGGAGTCACCCTGTGCCTCCTCTTCTGCCGGAACGGCGCTCCGCTGGAACGTGTTCCGACTGTGCGCGAGGCCCCGCACTTGTCGATCTGCTCGCGGAGCCGAAATCCCCCATCAGGCAACTTCTCTCAACCTGGCTGCCCAACCCCTGCACCTCAGAACTCATTACTTCATCCCTCAGCGCCGCTGCCTCCACGAGCCCTCTCTGAGCACGGCACCGCATCCACCCAGTTGCCCAAGAGCGGACCTGTGAGTCATCTTTACCAGCTCACCCCCTCGTCCCCACATCCAGTCAACACCAAGCCTTGTGCTTCTCCCACCCTGATATCTCAAAACTCTGTCCCTGCCACGACCCCCTCGCCCGCCTCCTGCCTCCGGTCTTCCCCACCCCCCACCCCTTACTCTGGTCACGTAACTCCGGCTTCGAGCTCTTCCATGACTCCCCACTGCCCGCCCGCAGAGGTCCTAACACCTCTCCACGGGGAAGAATAGATAATACTCTTCTTTCTTTCTCTGCAATTTAGAGACAAAAATGATTCTGCCAGGAAATGGGGAAATTCCCAGCACCTCCCAGGAAACCGGCAGAGTTAAGAAGCCTACGCACACCTGATCCCGGTTTCTCCGAGCTCTTTGCCAAGGGTTGGTCACTTGGCTCTGCTCCAGCCCTGGGTTTGGAGAAGCAACTCATTTCCTTCCCAGGCGATTCGCAACCAGCACCCAGAGAGGGAGCCTTCGAGCCCGATGGGAAACCCACGGCACAGAATGGGCACCCCGCCTCCAGCCCATGGTTGCCGACCAGGAATTCAACCTGGGTTTCCGCTTGTGGAGCAGCACCCGGCCAGCAGCAGACGGACTGCACATGGGGCTGACAAACCAGGCGTGCAGGGCAAGGGGGTCAGAAGCAGGGCTTAGCCCACAGGCCAAACCGATGGGGCCTGCACTCTCTCCTCTGTGAAAGACGGGTCGATTCCACAGCTTCTCAAGTCCTCTCCAGCATGGCCCCTGTGTGTTTTCTAGCACCAACGTGTACCCCTCAAAACCCTTCACCCCCTTTCGCTCCACCATTTCACTTCTCAGTTGTCAACAGTGGGAACAGACACTTACGACTGTTTCCTATGGCTTAATTTCCCCCACAGCTGAAACACCGCCCTACACACAATTTTACGTTTAAAGAAGATATCCTTTTTTGGTGAAAACTGGACAGATGTATAGTTCAGCTTTTCTGACCAGTCACCAAAAGGCCATTAGGACTATAACATAACGGTCCCCCCAGTGGCTCGACAGCCCACTCCCAGCACTCTTGCTGCACTTGTCAGTGTTCTCCTCGGGGCACTGCGAGTACAGCAGCCCAAGCCCCCGTTGAGCTCATGTGGACGGCACCCACCCTGCCCCATTCCCCGTGCTCCCAGCAAACCCACGAGCCCCCCAGCACAGGGAAGCCCGCTTGTGACGACAGCAAAGGCCCCGGGGGTCTCCTGCTTCTCTGAAACGGAAGCCCGGGACGCACAGGACTACTCTCCCCTGCCCTTGTAAGGAGGGTTGGCAGGGCATCTTCTGCCAGTTTTCTCAGGAGCTGGAAGCTTGGGTGAAGTTCAACCCATAGGCTTCTGAAAATAAAAACTATATTGCCCCACTGAACAGTTTCCAAACAGCCCACAGAATTCAACCCTTTTTGTGCTTTTTTAAAAGTGTTTCCATTCTCTGACCTGGGGGTTTACATATAGAAGGTTCAGCCCCCGATTGCTGCATGTTAGTCACACCGAAACAAAGCGCTGGAGGTTAAAGCTGAGCGTTCCTCAGAGACTCAAATACAGTACAAGAACAGTTGATTCCACAAACAAATTCACTGACGGTACTTCTCCTGACGTTCTGAGTCCAAGGCGGCTGGAGAGTAGGCGTTGCAGCGAGGGGAAGATGAAGAAAAGAAGAAGAGAAACCTGGGGTGGAACGAGATACGCCTGATGAGTTGTCCATCACCCACGTAGAAGTGATTCATCGAGAATAATCGAAAGCCCATCTAATTCTTGGCGAGAGCCCATCTGAAGACGGGCCCACCATCCCGTGAGGCCCAGGGGTTCCAGTGAGGAGAAAATCTTGGGGACAGGGAGAGAGAAGAGTGGGGGAATCTAAACTGAGTTTGGGAAGCAGGTTTTCCCCAGGGGCTAATGATGAACGGAGATGGGCCAGCACACACCGACCAGGACTCTGTGCCAGAAATGGGACAAACCAGCTAATTCCATCGGCTGAGAGCTAGCATTATTACTAGCCCCATTTACCACTGCGGGACATTGAGGTTCAGATGGGCTAAGTCACTCGGCTAAGGTCACAAAGCCAGAAAATGGTGGTGGTGGGTTCAGACCCAGCCTGTCGGATGCTGGAGTCCACACTGGTAACCACACGGCCTCTACACGGGGCTGTCCCCACCCCAGCCCAGGGACAGAACACCCCCTCACTGCTCACCAGCTGATTAGAACCGCACTTTCCCATGCTTTAAGAATGAAATTAAAAGCAAACATCACCAATGCTCTGGTTAACCCCTCACTCTGGCTAACTTCTCAGAACACCTCGGGCACAATAAAGGTGGTCTTCCAGTTAAGGCAGGCCCAGGGGCCAGGAGCTCACCATCAAACAGCAACATAATCATGCACATTTATGGTGCCCAGGGAGGCAGGGGCCAGAGACCCCAGGGCGAGATCAAAGGCTGCTGGAGCACAGGATGCTCACTGCCAGCATCCCCAACACTTTTTACGAAGATGGTAAGCAAACCTCACCATGAACACGGGGCTGGCGTCACCTCCCTTGGGAAGCCCTGGCAGTCTTGGGCCTGCAGGTGGTGGACCCGCTTGGGGGACTGGCCTTGGGGCAGCTCTTTCCCTCCAGCTGGCAGCAGCACCTCTGACCTCAGAGCTGGCTCACCCAACTCTCAGGGGGGCTTCAAGCAGGGTGAGGATTTCGAGGGGAGATAGGGGCCACCCTAAAACGACGAAGCAGTGGGGTGACCCCAGAATCTCCACAGGGAATGTTGGCTCACTGGCATTTGGCGATTTGCTTAACCAAGGTACATATCAGTTCTGTCCTACACCTGGAGGATGAGTATTCGG